CCATGCCCGACGTACTGCACAAGTAGCGCAACACCCTCTTCGCTGCAGCCATGTGCTCCGGTCTGTGTCTCCCAGGAGCAACATAGCGTGCCAAGATACTAAGAGGGTATGCAAGGTCAGGTCGTGTGCAGGTCATCAGGTAATGAGGCAGCCAACAAGCTCTGGATACGGGCCACTCGACTCTACGGACTCATCCGAAGGCAGAGCTGAGAGCGAGTGGCGAGTAGGCAGAGGAGTGGCCTGAGGCGAGGAGTACGTGAAGCGGAAGCGCTGAAGGACCTGCTGCACCATGTGTTGTTGGGTGCAAATTCACATTGCACGACATCCTGCCGTCTGTTTGTACGAGTATGCGTGTGCGAATGCATTTGCATGAGAATGGTATGTTCGTGTGTTTGTTTGCTTTCGCAATTTTTGCTTGAAGCATTTGCAGGTACTCGCACAATGTGCGCTTCGGCATAACATTGTACGCGCTATGAACAGTACAAGCAGAAAGGACGAGCTCGCAAAGGAACCCAAGATGGAAGCTTTGTGGTTCGGCTTACTTGATTGCGCAGATTCAGTTCTATCCAACTCGAAATTGTACTGTTTTGTTTGGTTGACTATAGTGTAGCAGGGCAGGCACTATAGGGGTACAATTTAGGTGAAGGTTGGATGTTGTTTGTCTGTATCTGCATGCTACAGGACCAGGGGAAACCAGTGGAACCAGCATTTGGCTGGTTGGGCAAAGACAAAACAGGTTCTGCTTTTAGGACCTGAACCTGGTTGTTGTTTTCCCAGGTTGGAAAAACAGAACCAGAGGTTGTTCACCAACCTACAACCTGCTATTTTGTCCAGCCAGGTTGGTTCTGTTGCTTGGAATTATTTGGGATCATCCCTGGTTGTTCCCAGGTTGATTCCCAAGGTCCTTGCTAGCTAGAGCTATTTATTCCTTCTCTGTTTGTACCTGAATATAGTGAAATTGATTCAAGCGGATTCCTCCCTTCCTGGAATTTCATTTCTACGCGGTGCGACGGCGGAATTCTACCCGAGTCAACGCTAGTACGCTAGCACTCCAACGCTAGGCTAACGCTGTCCGACCCATAACTTCGTAATGGCAAAACTTTTCGCGAGGCAACTTGGCTTATTTTAAAGCTCTTAGAGTGAGCTTCGATATAGTAAATTCTCAGCTTAATCCGATCAACGGTCTGCACGATACGCTGCGCGACGTTCAAGGTACTCTTGCTGTTTTGACTAAGTCCCTCTCGATCCCTCTCTCTACAAACTCGGACCCGAGGATAGGGGCTGGTCTTGTACCAGGCACCCAAGGACCCTTAGAGGTGGACCCGAGGAGAGGTTTTAAGTTTGATAAAGTCTTAATAGCTTGAGTTTATTAGGCCCTTACACCAACATGTGTGACTGAGTCAGGGTAATGGTGCGGCGTGCTCTGTCCCGGGTGATCTGCAAGCCAAGGTAGCTGCGCAGTTCACCCAGGTCTGTGCACGTGTGTCTCTTCTGCAGCTCGCACTTCACGTGGGCGAGTCCAGCAGTGTCAGCTGGGCAAAGACCAAGTCGTCGACGTACACGAGGATGTAGAACGACGGCAAAGAAGTGTCGGTGCGCAGAAATAGCGACGGGTCGGCAGTAGAGGGAGCAAACCCAAGAGCCGCAAGTGTAGTCCTCAGTGTCTCGTGCCACTCACGTGGTGCCTGGCGGAGACCGTAGACTGGCCGCCGGAGGCTGCACTGGGTGCCAGGAGGAAAAGACCCAGTGAAGCCAGGTGGGCGACGCAGCCAGATCTCCTCGTGCAGGCTGCCCTGCAAGAGAGCAGTGCTGAAGTCAAGAGAGTGCAACTCGTAGTCGCGGTGAGCAGCTATGTGCAGCAGTACCCAAAGAGTGGTCATCTTCGGGGTGGGAGAGAAGGTCTGAAAGTAGTGAACTCCCTGCCGCTGACTGAAGCCACGAGCCACGTAACGCGCCTTGAAGACAGGCGGAGAACCCGGCGGCCGCTTCACCCTGAAAATCCACATGCCACTGACGATGTTCACCCAAAGCGGGGGAACCTCGTCAACGTAGGTGCCTGTGGACTTCCAGGAAGCCATCTCTGTGTCCATAGCTGCCTGCCACTGAGAGGAGTAGGGACCCTGTATCGCCTCCACGTAAGAGCGCGGAGTCGGGATGTCAAGTGCATCCGGGTCTCCCTCAGGGGTAAGCAGTACGGACACGGGATGAGGTGAAGCAGCAGCCAGACACTGGAACTCCTCCTGCCTGTCCTCAAAGACGTCTGTGCCAAGGGCACCCTCACCTCTGACGGACGGAGGAGAGACAGATGTAGACTCAGCAACAAGACTAGCAGCTTATTCTAGACGACAGCGAGCACCAAAGTTGACGAGCTCAGCAACTAGGGCAGACGCTGCAGTGGACTCAAAGGAAGGGTCAGTGACAACAGTAGCAAGGAGACTCGTAACAGTAGGACTGGCAGCACGAAGAGAGTCCAACTCCGGGTCGGGAAGAGCAGGAAGAGAGGACTCAGGAGGAGAAGGCAAAGGGGCATGCAGAGGAGCAGTGGACGGACGCAGAGACATCCAGTGCATGCCAGGGACAGGAGGAGGACACTGACGCGAACCACGACCACTAGCGCGAGCAGCACTGACAGGCGACACAGGGCGAGACGCAGGCTCACGACGCTCAGCAAGACCTCCAGTAGGACCAGTGTAGGGAGAAGGAGTAGGCAGTGGGGAGGCCGGCTGTAACTTTAACTGTGACGGGACAGGCTGTGGACACTCTAAGGGAGGAGGAGGACCAGTAGAAGGCGGGAGACCAAGAACCTGCTGAAGGAGCGGAACGAAGTACGGCCGGGGCCGCATGGCGACTCCTGACATAGTAGGGACTGCACCAATACCCCCTGTGGTAGCACCAGCGCCAGCAGCACCTCCAGCTCTAGTACCTCCAGCAGCACCAGTAGCACCCCCAGCAGGACCGCCTCTAGGACCGACAGCAGTGACCTCAGCGCCAACACCCTCAGCAACTCCAGCTCCAGTCGTACCCGCAGGTCCAGCAGCTCCAGTACTCCCAGTACGAGCACCTCCGGGACCCGCGACACGAGCACCCTCAGCAGCCGAAGAACCTCCACCTCCAGCAGCACGCCTCTAGCGCCGAGCAAACCACTCGCACAGCTCCTGTGGAGAGAGTGGCTCCCGCCGAGAAAAAGCACCCGGAGAACCTTCAGGCACAGTACCGCCAGACGCCACACGAGCAGGCCCAGCTCCCCCAGACTCCGCACCCCCAAGCTCAGCACCTCCAGGCGTAGCACCCCTAGGCTCAGCACCCCCAGTCATTGCACCCCCAGACTCAGCACCCCCAGGCTCAGCACCCCCAGGCTCAGCACCCCCAGGCTGAGCACCCCCAGTAGTATCACCCTCAGGCTCAGCACCCCTAGGCGTAGCCCCCACACGCTCAGCACCCCCTCAGTCGGCACCCCCAGGCTCAGCACCCCCAGCAGCACTAGAGTCATGAGTAACTTTGACAGGCTCGACTGCGTCTACCTGGGACACACCTGAAGGGGCAGGACCCTGAGGGGGGAGGGGGTCTACCGGGGGGGGACTTGGCATAAGGAAGAGCGGTGGCGGGGGGAGGGACGGAGTGCGGTAGGGGAAGAGGCGGTAGTAGAGGACCGACTCGTCAAACGTGACGTCCTGGGAGGACAGAACACGGCGAGAGGTGGGGTGGTAGAACTTCCACCCTGGTGCGTCAGGGGGGAAGCCAAGGAAGACGCAGGGAGCAGCACAAGGGGACAGCTTGTACGCAGACAAGTCGCGGACAAACGCCCGAGATCCCCAAACACGGAACGCAGACGCATCGCCAACCTTCCCCGTCCACAGCAAAGCTGGGGAGGTCTCCGGCATGGAGACCCTGGGCTGAAGGTTGATCTGATGCGCCACGTACCTAACCGCAAACGGCCACAGAAAATGGGGGGCAGCCGCATGCATCATGGACGTACGGGCGACGTCCATAACCATGCCAATGCGGCGCTCAGCAATCCCATTTTGCCGTGGAGGGTCCGGAAGCGTGAAGGTCTGGCAGATGACCAAGCCCCTGCTTCGCAAGGGGAAGACTGTGGTGTAACGCGAGTAGTCGTCAACCACCAGCAGGAAGTAGTGCTCGTGACCCTGTCCACGGACGCGGGCCGGGCCCCACACATTCATGTGAAGCGTCTGCAGCGGGGCCTTTGTCACAGGAAACTGGGAGGAGTGAGGGGCAGCCCACTGCCGCCCCTCGACACAAGGGACGCAGGCAGGGGCAGGCCCCGGAGGAATGGAGGGAGGGACCGGGGAAGACCAGAGACAAGGAGACGGGAGGCCATGCCTCGGAGACGAAGTAGGGAGGGGTGACCAAGGCGGTGGTGCCAAAGGAGAGTCTCGTGAGACAGGAGGCGACACGAGCAGGGGGCAGACTCAGGACCAGACCTGGACGCTGCAGCAAACACCTGACCCGACGCAGCTACCTGACCAAACGCAGTGACTGGAGAAGACTCAGTGGTCAGTGTGTACAGGCTCGACCCCGGCCGACGTGTAAACGTGGCCAGGTGTCGGCCTGTCCGAGCGTCCGTGCAGTGGGTCACCCGCTGACTCGCAGGAGTCAACTGGTGAACCCCCGCATCCTGTAGGTCAGCAACACTCACCAACTTCGTAGAGAACGAGGGGAGGTAAAGACCAGACAGGGTGCCAGAGAGGGCCGCCGGACACGGGAGGACAGTGGAGAAGTGAGCAAGGACAGGACCCCCAGAGGGGTCTGCCAGAAAGAGTGCAACTGGCCGACCAAGCGGCGTGAGTGTGATGCGGTCTCGAAAGAAGGAGCGAGAAGCCCCCGAGTCAAGGGTAAAGGTGTGGGAGGCCGGAGCTAACGCGGTACCTGAGAGAGCAGACTCACCAGCACCTGAAGAAGCAGACGCACTGGCACCTAGAGCAACAGCCTCGCTTTCACCTAGAGCAGCAGCCTCACCAGTACCTAGAGCAGCAGTCTCAATGCCCGGGTCGGGCGGAAAACACCGATAACAGTCACCCTCATCACTAATAGTCACAGCATACATGGCAGCAAGAATAGCATCAAAGTCAAGGTCAAAGATAGCTATTCCCGCCCTTGACAGCTCGCCCCAGCAAGGGATCTCAGTGGCCTCAAGGAACTGGTGGCGCCAAGCGTCCGTCAGGCGGCCAAAGCAGCGCTGGGTGGAGAGCGCACCCCCGCACTGCTCACCCGCGCGGTCGCCGGTGCGTAGGTGCACGGACCAGTACCCCCACCCCGCTGGCGTGCAGCGTACCACTCACGGAGCTGCTGAGGGGGGGGGGGATGTCACGAGTGCGCTGCTGCTGCTGCTGCTGCTGCTGCTGCTGGCGCTGACCACCACTGGAGCCGACCCTCTGCGCAGCGCCACTCCGACCAGCTCCACCTCCTCCGCCGCCGCCTCCTCCACCGCCGCCACCTCCGCCACCTCCGCTCCCACCGCCACCGCCGCCGCCGCCTCCGCCTCCACTGCCGCCACCGACACCTCAACCCCCGCCACCACTCCCACCACCACCCCCACCCCCTCCACTGCCTCCACCGCCACCTCCGCCACCCCCGCCAGCCCGTCCAGCACCCTTGCCCCCCTTGCCCTTACCGGTGCGGCGTCTCCCGCTCGGGGCAGACGCAGCGCCGACCGACTTGAAACCAACAAGGTCGGCCGCAACAGCAGAGGCAACAGAGGACAAAAGGGGGTAGGGGGAACACCCCTCAAAGACGGGGGTGCGAGGGTCACCACGAGAGGCTCCTACAGCGACTATGCTCTTCTCTGCTGCTAGGAGAGCCTTCTTCAGGAGGTCAACGGTGAGAGTGGTGGGGCAAACTGAGAAATAGTGGTCCCTGACTACGCGAAGGGAGTCAGGGAGCCGGGTGACTATGTAGTAGAGGGTGATGTACATGGGAGGGGGGTGGGGGTCTTGGCGCAGAATTCAGCAGGAAGCGCAGCGCGGTAGCGAGTGTCACTAGTGCGGAGGTGCGTAATGAGGTCAGCGACTGTGGGAAACGCAGCAAGGTCAGGGAAGAGGTACGGTAGCATGAGGCGGCTCAGTGCAGCAGTGGTAGGGGAGGAGTAGTGTGCGACTACAGCGTCGTACAAGGTCTGAGCACTCTTGTACTGACTAAATGTGCGCACGCTCAGAGGTAGGCAGGTGGCAACGCACAGCAAGACGTGCAGCAGCATCGCGTGTGGCCCACTGTGAGCGAACAGTGGCGTCGGCATCAGCAACAGGGGCAGGAGAGGCACCAGAGGTGAGGTCAAAGAGGGAGAGACCGTCTGCCCTATCGCACTGTAGGAAAAGCTGCAGGTCATCTACCCAGACGTCAAAGTCAATAGCCTGACCCTCAACGTTAAAAGCAAGGACACTAGGGGTAGCCATGACAGCAGTAGACTAGCAGCGCGAACAGTAGGGTAAGGGCAGTGCAGTGACAGAGGCGCTGCTCTTACCGGACAGGGCTGTTCGGGCGGCTCGGCGGCTTGGCAACTCGGCGGCTTGGGCGGCTCGGGCGACTCGGCGGTACGGCGGCTCGGCAGCAACTGCGGCTCGGCGACTCGGCGGCTCGGGCAGCTCGGGCGGCTCGGCGGTACGGCGGCTCGCCAGCAACTGCAGCTCGGCGGCTCGGCGACCCGGCGGCTCGTGCGGCTCAGGTGGCGCAGCGGCTCGGGCGGCTCGGGTGGATCGGGCGGCTCGGCAGCAGCTCGCCGGCGCCGGCGGGGTCGCGTGGCGACGGTGGTAGGGCCGGGTGGAACGGCGTCGGGGCCAGTAGAGGCGGCGCCGGGGCCGGGAAGGGCAGCGCCGGGGCTACAGGGGTAGGCGACGGGGCCAGTAGAGGCGGCGCCGAGGAAGAGAAGGGCGGCGCCGGGGCCGCAGGGGTAGGCGACGCGGCCGCTAGGGCGGCTAGGAGGGGGGGGGGTCGCGAGGGCGGCTTGAAGAGGCCGCGAGGGCGGCACGAAAGGGCCGCGAGGGCGGCGCGAAAGGGCCGCGAGGGCGGCGCGACGCGATGGAGCCGCGAGGGCGGCGGATCGGGGCCGCGAGGGCGGCCGGACGTGAAGGGGCCGCGAGGGCGACGCGATGGGGCCGCAAGCGCGACGCGACGGGGCCGCTAAGGCGGCGCGAAAGGGTCGAAAGGGCGGCGCGACGGGGCCGTGAGAGGGGAGCACGACTCGGGCAGTGTAGAGCGCGCTCCGGGCAGGAAAAAATAGGTGGTGGGCCCTAGGAACAGTTCCCACAGAAGAACCTGCTCGATACCATGAGAAAATGAACGAGAAAAAAGATGACTAAGGGAAAGTTGGGTATAAGTGCAAACCCTAGAAAGCTGTACCCCATATGTGCTACCCCACTATAGCCTATAGTAGCTATGTCATATAAATCTGACAGTCACCACCATCGCAAGAGGCGACATCCCACGGCTAGGATGACGTAATATATTTACTAGCTTCCGCGATCACAGAATGTACGAGCCACCACTGGTGCAACAGCCATCGTCCATCCAGCAGCACCGAATTAGCGCATTCAACCCCCCCGACTGTTGTTGTAAGGGCCTAATAAACACAAGCTATTAAGACTTTATCAAACTTAAAACCTCTCCTCGGGGTCACCTCCAAGGGTCCTTGGGTGCCTGGTACAAGACCAGCCCCTAACCCCTTCCCTTCCCTTCCCAAACTCCAGGAAGGGAGGAATTCGCTTGAATCAAATTTACTATATCCAGGTATAGACAGAGAAGGAATAAATAGTTCTAGCTAGCAAGGACCTTGGGAATAAACCACGGAACAACCAGGGATGATCCCAAAAAACTCCAAGCAACAGAACCAACCTGGCTGGACAAAACAGCAGGTGGTAGGCTGGTAAACAACCTCTGGTTCTGTTTTTCCAACCTAGGAAAACAACAACCAGGTTCAGGTCCTAAAAACAGAACCTGTTTTGTCTTTGCCCAACCAGCCAAATGCTGGTTCCGCTGGTTTCCCCTGGCCTTGTAGCAAACAGATACAGACAAACAACATCCAACCTTCACCTAAAATGTACCCCTATAGTGCCTGCCCTGCTACACTATAGTCAACCAAACAAAATTGTACAATTTTTAGTTGGATATAACTAAATCTGCGCTATCAAGTAAGTTGAACCGCAAAGCTTCCATCTTGGGTTCCTTTGCAAGCTCGTCCTTTCTGCTTGTACTGTTCATAGCGCGTACAATATTTTGCCGAAGCGCACAATGCGCGAGTACCTGCAAATGCTTCAAGCGAAAATTGCGAAAGCAAACAAACACACGAACATTCCATTCATACCCAAATGCATTCGCACATGCATACTCGTACAAACAGACGGCAGGATGTCGTGCAAAGTGAATTTGCACCCAACAGCTCCTTCAACACGGTCCACCCTTTCGAACCGCACTCAACCTTCGGCAGCAGGTGCATGATGTGGTAATGCTGGTTCAGCTCCAAATTCTGCGACATCGAATAATAGCCAGCCGAGGAGCGCTCATCCCAATCATCCTACAGCGCGGGGTCACTCGGTCTAGGCTCCTCCCCAATCATTAGTCTTAGCAAACCGATCTGACGGAAATACAATTGCATTTTCCAGGCCCAATCATCATAGCCCTCACCAATGAACTTCTCGACGGTGAAGTTTTTCAGCACCTCCTTGACCAGCGAGCCCTGGTTTGTTCGCGCTCCCCTTGGCGCTAAAACACCAGAATCTTGGCTGCCGCTACGATCTTGGGCTGAAAATTCACCAGCTCTCGTCGAGGTTTTGCCCGCCATAGCTACCTATATCGAGGATCACTATAACGCAGCTCTGATACCAGCTTGTTGGTGTGAGGGCCTAATGAACTCAATCTATTAAGACTTTATCAAACTTGAAACCTCTCCTCGGGGTCACTTTCAAGGGTCCTTGGGTACCTGGTACAAGACCAGCCCCTATCGTCGGGTTCAAGTTTGTAGAGAGAGGGATTAAGAGGGACTTAGTCAAAACAGCAAGAGTACCTTGACATCGCGCAGCGTTTCCTGCAGACCGTCGATTGGATTAAGCTGAAAATTTGCTATATCGAAGCTCGCTCCCAGAGCTTTAAAATGAACCAAGTTGCCTCGCGAAAAGTTCTGCCATTACGAAGTTATGGCTCGGACAGCGTTTGCCTAGCGTTGGAGTGCTAGCGTATTAGCATTGACTCAGGTAGCATTCCGCCATCGCACCGCATAGAAACCAATATTCCAGCAAGGAAGCAATTTGCTTGAATCAATTTCACTATATTCAGGTACAATCAGAGAAGGAATAAATAGCTCTAGCTAGCAAGGACCTTGGGAATCAACCTGGGAACAACCAGGGATCATCCCAAATAATTCCAAGCATCAGAACCAACCTGGCTGGACAAAACAGCAGGTAGTAGGTTGGTAAACAACCTCTGGTTCTGTTTTTCCAACCTGGGAAAACAACAACCAGGTTCAGGTCCTAAAAACAGAACCTGTTTTGTCTTTGCCCAACCAACCAAATGCTGGTTCCGCTGGTTTCCCCTCGCACTGTAGCAAACAGATACAGACAAACAACATCCAACCTTCACATAAATTGTACCCCTATAGTGCCTGCCCTGCTACACTATAGTCAACCAAACAAAAAAGTACAATTTCGAGTTGGATACAACTGAATCTGCGCAATCAAGTAAGTTGAACCGCAAAGCTTCCATCTTGGGTTCCTTTGCAAGCTCGTCCTTTCTGCTTGTACTGTTCATAGCGCGTACAATGTTTGTCAAAATATGGTTACATATTTTATATAATCATTTGCAGTTGTTGTGCCGAAGTGCACAATGCGCGAGTACCTGCAAATGCTTCAAGCGAAAATTGCGAAAGCAAACAAACATACGAACATTCCATTCACACCCAAATGCAATCGTACACGCATACCCGTACAAACAGAAGGCAGGATGCCGTGCAATGTGAATTTGCACCCAACACACTCCCCCTCTGCCAGCCGGCTGCATCCCCATCATTCCATACTAGTTCATGCGCACATGCGCCAATGAGGCTCATTAGCAAGCCTCTTGGTGAGGAAGTCTGTTGGCTGGTGGTGAGTCTTGATGTAGATCGGATTCACCATCCCCCTCTTCACCTGCTTACGCAGCCAGTGCCACTTGTTACGCATGTGCTTATTCAGCCCATGAAGCACAGCGTTCCTGGCCATCCCAAGAGCTCCCTTGCTATCACAAAACAGCGGCGTAGCAACCTTTTGCTCCTGGTCAATCTCCTCTAACAGCCTCCTCAGCCAAATCACCTCCTTCACCCCGTGAAACATTGCCCTGTACTCTGATTCCACGAAAGAGAGTGCCGTCTCCGTTTGCTTCTTTGACCTCCAACTAACAGGTCCTCCCCCAACTACGCAGATGTATCCTCCCACAGATGAGGAATTCTCCTTCTCAGAGGCCCACGTAGCAACTGTAAAGCAAGTGAGAAACAGCTTGCCTTCTCCAAGCCACTCCCCCTTCTCTCTCAGAACCTCAACCCCTTTCTGCTTCACCTGTGCAGATGCGGAGTATTGAACTCCAATGCTTGGGTGAGAGTTCAGATACTTCACCAGACGCTCGGCTGTATCCACCTGCTCCTGTGATGGATTCTGCACCACCCTAGCCAGCTGCCCAACCGAGAAAGAGATGTCGGGCCTTGTGTGAACTGCTGCATGCAAGAGGCTGCCCACCAAGGACTGAAATTGCTGCTGCTTCTCGGCTTCAACCCCTTCATCCTCTGCAGCTTTCACAAGCTTGAATTCTGCTGGCAGGGGAGTTGCAACTTTGCGCTCATTCTCAATCCCGTACTTCTCCCCCTGCTCCTTGATGAACTTCTCCTGGCACAGCTTCAACCACCTGTGATCTAGATCCCTCTCCACATGCAACCCGAGGTAGTACTTTACCTCCCCAAGGTTCTTGCACTTGAAGTTCTCCATCAGCTGCTGCTGCACCTTTTGGATCTCCTTCATGCTGCTGCTAAAGAGAAAAATATCGTCCACATAGACCAGAAACAACACCACCTTCTCCGCCTCCCCCTTGAGAAAGAGGCTCTCATCACAGCTGCTGGTCCTGAATTCCATCTCCTCTAAAACAGCTGCCAACTTCTGGTACCAGCAGCGTGGCGCCTGCTTCAAGCCGTAGATGGACATTTTCAGCTTGCACACCCTGCCCGTACCATCCTCATACCCACGCGGCTGCATCATGTAGACATGCTCCTCTAAAATCCCATTGAGGAATGCCGTTGATCTATCCATCTGAATGATG